CATTATAACGCCCCCACGGCTGAAAGGGCGAGCATGTTTGGTGTGACGGGGATTCGAACCCGCCAAGAAATGCTAAGGAATATCAAATAACGCAATAAGATAAAAATAAAACTATTGCTTAATTTTAATGACTAAATTCGTGTTTGCGTGGATATGAACTTTGGCATGGTTCGTTTATCCAGTAGAGAAATCAAAAAAGCGTAATCTATATGCATATTGACATATGTGATAATTTATTTTAAAGTTAGATATACAACAGGCTAATATAATACCCAGTTGGAGTTATAAACAATAATCCCAAAAAGAAAACTCACAAAAATCATGGTTGAATAGAGAACAAGAAATCTCAAATGATACACTCGTGGCTCAGGTGTAGTGGTAAACTAAGAACGATCCTCTACAATTTGTTAACACTTTAACATTGGTTTTGTTTCAATAAAATATATTATTCAACATCAAAAACAAACTTTAAAACACTTTTAATTTTAAACAGGTTAAAACTTAAATTAACAAACAATAACTAAATAGAAACTCTCTCCAAATATTTGATGCGAAAATATCTTTATTAATACTTTACTGAACTTATTCTCATATCTCACGTACCTTTAAGAAGTTTATGTACAATAAATTATCAACATCAATGTAAATCAACTAAATCAACTTCAAGATGTTATGGAGGAAGAATTAGCGAAAAAAAAAAGTAACAAGTACGAATGATGAAAAACGTAAACAAATGTAATGTTGCGTTTTAAAAATGCAAGAGATTTTTTTTCAAAATATTAAAAAGAAAAATAAGTTTAAACACTATTTCAATTCAAACGAAGGACAATGAATGCACGTATCTAATGATTTCTTGTTACACGCATGTCGGGAGAGGGGGGGGGGGGAGAGGCCTGTGTCGATTATTATTATACTTTTGGCCAGTAATGCGTTTAGAATAGAAAAGTCAAAGGAGTCCTTGACCCCGCCCCCCTTCCTATACAAGTTTTTTTTTTCTTACCTAACAGATTTAACAGAATGTTGACTTTATTTACACTAAGAGTATACAAGTTACTTTAGCAGGAGGCAACAGACGTTCAGAT